TGTATACACATTGACATTGGCCTTGTTGGATCGATAGGAGTTTTGCTTTTCGTACTCTCAGTCAATTTCTGTTGCCTGTTAACTGCATATGTGTCCTACAGACGCAGAATAAATTTATTTTTGCAATCAATAACAGTTTCATTCCCAGTAAGGAGTGAGTTCATTTAGGAGACATGAGACAAAAATATTGCTCATGGATTCTCAGCCAACTCACCACTAAGCCTCACCTAGTTTATTAGACAATATTCATCCATGAAAGAACGGAAGGCTCCGCGCCCTGCTAGCAACTTCACCTTGCAAAACAGCACCACTTCTACGAAAACTTCACAGCCGAAGCTTGAAGCCCCATATTCCACTGGGAACACGAAGGAATGGGAGAAGGTGGGAATCATGTTTAGAAATAACGAGTGGAAGAGAAACATGATAAGAAGCATATTTATTCGAACATTAGTCATTGCCAATGTGAGTTGAGGTAAAACAATGTTGAGTTGTCGAAGAAAAGAAGTGCAAATCAAATGTAAATCAGAAATCGGCTGAGGTGAAATGGAAGAGTTGGTCATTACGTAGAGGGTAATAGATAACCAGTGTCTTTCCACGAAGATTGGTCTCTTAGAGAATGCACGGAGAATATCAATTCGAAACGTTATTCAATAAATTGAGTGATCTGTGGCCCATAGACAAAGAACAAATTAGGCGGTCAACATTTAGATATTTGAGCAACGATCTTCAGCACGAAGCATTCGTGCTTTATCAATCTGAATTACGCTCTTACGGGAATTAATACACCTTGGCAGGACTAATCGACGAAAAACGGATTGTGGTTGTCAAGCCTGAAGATTTATACCTGAGGTGAATATACGGCTTGACCACACTTCATAAATTAGAAAGAAGATCCAACTAATCATGAAGCGGAATGTTGCAAGAAGGTGAATATGCTACAGCCAAGGCCGAATCGATTATTAACACGAAGAGTCAGGTACAGATAAGACCTACTCTATCCAGGACACATTATTGTTGCTGCAAGGTTCCTTGGTGAGTAACACAATAGTAAGTAAAGTTCCCATAAATTATCCAGTCGTGGAGAGTATTGTCAGGTTTCGTCGAGATTGTGAATGCTTGAGTGTGTCTCACAGATCCATAATTTCTTATGGAGTATGAAATTCTGTGTGAAAATTTCTAACCTGTAAATAACAGCTACTTTGCTTATCGCAAAGGAAACATCTTTCGACAATTGAATGAGATGAATTGTATCCAACTGGAGGATTTAACTGGTTTCCAACTACTCATCCAAATCGGTCAGTACTATATGTAGCGTCATACATTAGTGTTTACTTTCCTGACAGCTGTCTACCGTATCAAGCTAACGCAAAATTATTTACATAGTTACATAAAACTCTTGTTTCTGTGGATTTTCTGGCCCCGGAAATTAGGGAACATATTTTAATTATTTGCCTTTCGAACACTGAATCTGTGGATATAATCTTGTTGACCGATAATGCCCATAACTATCTGCTTGCCATTTGATCACTGTTTAACACTAACTAATATCTATTATTGTATATATTGATGGATTTGCATGTCCAAATAGGCTCAAGTCAGTGAGTCTTTGATTTTGGTATCATTTTGGTTAACTGTATCTGCTAAGGTTTGTTTGGTTGTTGTTGTCGCTTGTTTCCGTTCCTGTTGTGAATTATTTTCCTTTTGCCGGTGTTATACTGATTGCTTTATTCCTTGTTTTCCTGGTTTTAAAAGGAGCAACCCACAAGGTCGCTTCTCTCTACATTATAAATTGATGTAACAACCCCCCTTCTCAGGCGTGAGGCTAGCAACCCCACACTGTAAACAAAGTTGCTACAGAAACTTCAGCACGATGAATCTCCTTGCACCGAAAGAAAAAGTCTGTGTGGAGACATGGAACGTCCGCACCATGTACGAGATTGGCAAAGCTGCCCAGATCGCAAACGAGTTGAAACGATACGGAATTCAAGTACTGGGGATATGTGAAAGCAGATGGAACGGGTATAGACTCGCCAAATTGTCAACTGGAGAGGCAGTGATCTACTCCGGTCACCCAGAAGACAACCACACGCACATCAAGGCCGTGGCTATCATGATGTCAACAACGGCGACGAAGGCCCTGATGCAATGGGAGGCGATCTCGCCCAGGAAAATGACCGTCAGATTCAACTCCAAAGGAAGGAAAGTGTCAGTTATACAATGCTATGCACACACAAACAATGCAGACCTCGAAAAGAAATAAGAATTCTACAGACAACTACATGCAACAATCGACAATACTCCAGTCGGCGACATTAAAATACTGATAAGAGACATGATTGCCAAACTGGGACCAGACAACACAGGAAGGGAACTCGTCATGGGTAGAGAAGCTCTCGGAGAAATGAATAAAAACGGAGAACTCTTCGCTGACTTCTGCGCCTTCAATGAACTAGTGATTGGTGGCAGCGTTCACAAACACAAAGACATCCACAAGGCTACATGGGTGTCACCAGATGGGAGAACCGAAAACCAAATCGACTTCACCTCAATCTCAAGTAAGTGGAGGCGCAGCCCACTGGACACGAAAGTAAGAAGAGGAGCAAACGTTGGCTCAGTCCACTATCTCGTACAAGTGACAATCCAACTCAAATTAAAAGCTTTCGCAGAAACTGGAGCTGCAGAGAGACCACAAGCCAAGTTCAACACTCAAAAACTGAAGGACCAGGACACAAAGGAAATCTTCACTGCAAGCATAAAAGACAAAGCCGAGACACAAATCAACACTGGCGAAGAGGTCAGCGTCGAAAAGCACTGGAACAACTTGAAGACAGTGTGGAGTCAAACCTGCATGGAAGTTCTAGGCAGAAGGAAGAGACAGGACAAACAGTGGCTCACTACGGACACTTGGAGACTAATAGAAGAGAGGAAGATGGTGTAACAAAAGATTATCCAGTGCACCGATAAGCAACAAAACAGGATTTGAATGCAAACCACAATACACTGAACAAAAGAGTAAAGAAGAGTTTCAGAGAAGATAAAAGAAAGTATAATGAATCTACGGCAAGTGAAACAGAACAAGCCGCACGCAAAGGAGACCTCGCAACACTCTACCAAACAACTAGGTACCTATCGGGCAAACGTTTGACACAAATTAAGCCGGTGAAAGATGACAACGGAAAGTCACTCACCAAAGAAGTGGAGGAAAGGAAACACTGGGCTGAACACTTCAAAAGACTCCTAAATCGACCACCACCTACAGAGCCCCAACAATACCAACAACGGAAGCAGAACTACTAGTGTTCATCAACCCTCCGACGAAAACAGAAGTCCTGAAGGCAATCAAGATGCTAAAAGCTGGAAAAGCAGCAGGGCCACATAGAATCCCAGCAGAAGCATTGAAAAAGGACCCAGAGACAACAGCGGACTTGATGACGCCACTACTGAAGAAGGTGTGGAAAGAGAGCGAGGTACCTGAGGATTGGAAGAAAGGATACTTATTCAAACTGCCAAAGAAAGGAGACTTATTCAATGCGAGAACTGGCGCGGAATTATGCTCCTGTTCATCCCAAGCAAAATACTCAGCCGCATCATCTTGGAGAGAATCAAACACGCCACCCTGGATGAAAAACTTCGACCGGAACAGGCTGGATTCAGGAGAAACTAGTCCTGAATTTGATCAAATCGCCACACTACGGATCATCATTGTACAGAGCTTGGAATGGCAATCACCTCTCTATCTCAACTTCATTGACTTTGAAAAGGCCTTCGACAGCGTCGATCGAGAGGCGATTTAGCAATTACTTCGCTGCTACAGAGTGCCGCCGACAATTATACATCTCATCGAACAGCTGTACGACAATGCTGCATGCCAAGTAATCCACAACGGAAAACTTACGGAATCCTTCGAAGTGAGGACAGGAGTAAGTCAGGCTGGCTGCCTACTATCGCCAATGATTTTCCTGATTGCAGTAGATTGGAAAATGTGACAAACAGCGGACAATGAGGAAACAGGTATAAAATGGACCCACACAAAAACTTGGAGGATCTGGACTTCGCCGATGATATATGTCCGATTTCCCACAAAGTGGAAGATATGCAAGCGAAAAGCAACAAGTTGGCAGAAGAAGCATCAAAGATAGGGGGGACTTCAGGTGAACATAGAGAAGACAGAGGTGATGAAGATTTATGGACAACACCAACAGCAACAACAACAACAGAAAACAATCAGCGTGAATGGGGAGAACCTGAAAGAAACAACCTCTTTTACAAACATACCTGGGGCGCATCGTTTCAACTACAGGCAGACGGAACTGATGAGGATATCAAAGCAAGAATCGGGAAAGCAAGACAAGCTTTCACTACTCTCAAGTCTGTGTGGAGGTCAACAGCACTCAGCATGAAAAACAAGATCCGAATTTTCAACTTCAATGCGAAGTCAGTGCTACTATACGGATGGATCAGAGACTTGACGCGTCACGAAGGGCACTACAAACAAACCACAGACCTTCATCAACAACATCATCAGCAACAGAGATCTCTAGGAGCGAACCAATCAGGAACCGGTTGTGAAACAAATATGCATAAAGAAATGGAGATGGATTGGCCACACTCTGAGGAAACCGTCAAGTGACATCACTAAACAAGAACTCGAGTGGAACCAAAAAAGGAAACGGCGAGTTGGTCGTCAGTTCAAGGGTGACTTGGAGGAGATCATGTGAAGAGGAGATGAAAACGTGTGGGCAGACTTGTAGCCAGGTGAAATATCTAGGAGAAAACCAAACACAGTGGAGACGCGCGACTGAAGCCGTATGTTGCTCGAAGAATTAAAGGAAATATTATTAATAAATAATATAAATGTGAACAGTAAATAATTTCAGTCGAGTTGAACACAGCTGAAAGGAAGATGTTAAACGCCAGAAATGTTCAAATTTGTCAAAGTGTTTCGCACAACCTGAATTCTCACATGATAATGATTGATTTGCACGTCTACATTTGTATCGATGAAGGATGGAATCAATAGTGCCGGCTGTGATAGTGGCGGCCACAATGACATTTGTATCCCTTTTTATCATGACGGTATTTACCATAATAGCGCTTGTAGTGTTGATTATGATAACCGGAATGGTGCTTTTGATGATGACCACGATGACGGTCATAATGATGATGTTGAACATAATGTCCACATTTGTGGTGGTGGTGATAGTCATTGCAGTTGGAGTGGTGACTATAATGGTGGGAGGGATATTCATGATGATCATAATGGTAGTCATCATCGTCGTCATCACGGTGATGACTGTATTCACGACCATTGTGATATTCATGATGATCATGATGGTGACGATATTTGTGATGATTGGTAGGCATGACGATGAAGATATTTGTGGCCTTTAGACCTGTAACGTTAGTGGTGCTTTTGATGGTGATGTGATGATGACTGCGACAGTCGTAGCAGTCGTTGTAGTTGTGATCATACGAACCATGAAGCAATCTCGACCCAGAGGTTAGAGCTGTTGTATCGCTACCATTCTCATAAAAGAGCTCCAGCTACATCGCCATCAGAAGGATATCCATCAGCATTGGTTCTTTGTTGTGTCTCATCTGACTCCCTTCTCAACGTAACTCGTGAAGTTCCATTGACGTATGGAGATTTGAAAACCAAGCGTGTAAAGAAGAAAGCGTCATGAGGAAATACGCAAATTAACCGTGCTAAATGGCATATGACTGCACTGAATGAATGGATATAAGCAGACAGAAAAGACTGGCACAAAAATAACAATTCAATGATATCCATTTCGACGTGTTACTGACAATTAGTTAACATTATCAAGCCAACAACAAATCTCATGTGAACTGGACTGACAGCTAAAGCAGATACTCATATATTCTACCTGGTCAATAATTGAATGCTTTTGAGATATTTTGGTGGATACAAAATAGCAACCCGAAACAAATTCACGACGCTGAATAACATGTCTATCTGTCACTGAATAAATCAGTGGTCTTAATGCCTCAAGAGATCGACAAGTGCACACACCATGGAGGCGATTTGTCTGGGACACCAACATCAAAAAGATACATGGATGACGAAATGTGTTGTCAATAACAAAGAGTATCCATTCCATCCTCTGGTTGGTGGATATATATACAAGTGCAAATGGTTGATGTCCATGAGTTTTATACTGGGCAAACCTGCCTTCATCGTTTCCACTGACTGGTACTGGTTCAGCCCGTAGTAACCCGTGACACAACAGGGTTAGAAGGAGAGTAACAACCACCCTCATCGTGATTCCAAAAGCAAGATAAGGATAGAAAGGATTTCAAGGAATGTATGATGTATAGTTGAATGGCACGAATCGAAGAGGTTCAATATAGGGACAGAATATCGAGAATTCATGAACTCACTCAGCCAAATAAGCGCTTCCAGGTGTTATCAGCTTATACACGGGAATTTCTCATGCAATTCAAAAGCATGCATCGCTTTGTGTACACACACAAGTCAAGGTAAGTGAATCAATCATTGAAGTTGAATGTCACGTATTGATTTCACTCACCGAAATCAGGTCACTCATTTAGTCATCTTGTAGTCGAAGTGTAGTTCAAACAGTGAGTGACACTTGAACTTGACATGCTCATGAAAAAGAAACGAAGACTGTATCATCACTTCACAAACAAAGATGTCTATACACTTGAAAACAAATAAACAGCGAAAATCACAATTGTGGTGTATTTTCGTGACCGAATATCACTACGACTAAGAGTGATGTGTGGTCGAATTCGCGCGTGCATTTACTCTCATTTCACTGCAACACATAACTTACCTAAAACCTTCTAGTCAAGATAACCATATGTAGCACATCAAAATGGTGTGATCAAAACAAGTGAGCAGTCAGAAGACAATTTAGCGAAGAAAGTGTTCATCATTGACGAAGACATGTTCAGTTGCCTGCATTATTGCTTTTATATGCACCGAAAAACGTACAATATTTTATTTTTGAATAGGACAGGCGGCAGGAGAACATAATTGATCTAATAAATCGGATTTGACTTCTGAAGTTGCGAAATACAACCCAAATCACGACTCAGATATTCAGAAGACAAAAGGATTGAGCAAAGCCATATAGAGCAACATAATGCAGGTAAGCTTGACATATGATGAAGTGGAGATTGTCACTCATGGAGAAAATATAGTAGTTCTCTGTCGGATCCTTGTCTTTTAGCGAATTCTGCTCGCTTGCTTGCAGAAAGAAGCGTATTCCGCTCATAAGATTTAGATATAATGGAGATTTGTAGCTCAGTTGGATGATTTTGATGTAGTTGTGTTCTCTGAGCTGGGTGGTTTACTCACAAAGCTTTCATTGCTTTGCTAAACAATATCTTCGGCGCACACTTCAACTGCAGTTGAGCTTTTGAATTTCTCCACGGGTCTATTCGTCATCCCTCCTGATGACGCTGGACGTCATTGGTTGCATTTGTCTGTTTTCACACCCTCTACTCCACTTGTATTTGTATTGATTGTTTTCTTGATGCTAAGTTTTACTTTTTGTGCATGACATTTTCCTCTTATGGATTAGTAAATTGTACATATGTCAATGTGCATGCTAAGTGGTGATTCACTTGAATACCAGGCTTCGAAAATCTCTCTGGCATTTTCGGGGTTTCCTCTGCCCAGTATCTGAACGTTGTCCCAGTCGAGTTGATGTCTGTGGTTGTCTGTATGCTGCGACATGAGGGAGTGGATATCATGTCTTTTGACGGCTAGTTTCTGTTTATGTATGTGAAGACAAAGAAGGCATCCACTTTGGCCAATCTTGTGTTTTCGCAGTCATAGCAATTTATTTTGTAGATGATGTTGGTTTCATTTTCCTTCGCTACTGAATCTTTTGGTTTGCTCAGAGCTGGGTGAAGGATTTTGTCGGTTTATGTGCGACATCAAATCCTGGAGGGCTGGAACAGTCTTGCAGTGACTTCTGAGACGTTCTTTATATGTGGTAAGATGATTTTCTTTGCGTTTTCCTTAGGGGCCTTTGATTTGGTAGGTCGGCTTGAGAGTAGATGTCTTTTGATAGAGTTTCGTGGATATCCACTCTTTTGGAATACGTCCATGAAATATATTTCTTCAATTTTCCTTTAGATAGGAGTGCTGCAGTGAGTCCTGGTTCTCTTGACTTATGTTTGTACGCAACTCCTTTTGTGTGCTACTGGGTTGTTGATGTTTTAATTGAGTATTTAGTCTGTGTGAGTTGATTTTCTGTAAACTCGGCTTTCTAACTTCCCTATGGTTGCTCGCCTGACCAAGACGTCCAAAATGGAATATTGCCCTCGGATTCCTCTTCTCTTGTGAACTTGATAAGGATGTAGATGTTAATTATTGAGTTGTAAGTTTTGACTGTCTTTGTTTGATAATCACGAATGTGTCATCAAATTAACATATGCAAACTTTGAATATGATCATATTCCGAGTGTCGATATTGATTCATAATTCAGGCGGATAGAATGCATTGCCCAGACGACTCGATAAGCGATACTTCAGAATCAAAACCACAGATTCCACTTCATTTAAAAAATATAAGAACCTCAGATATCCTGTTTTAAAAAAAAACCTCTGATTACGAATGCAACCAATAGAATGGTGGCAGTTGTAGCACTCCTATATTATCACTCCAATGTCAGAATCTTTGTCGCATATGAAGATGATATTTTGCATGTGTGTTTAGTGAACATGGAAACTTTGAAATAGCGGGTCGTAATAAATCATTAATTTCTGGGGTCGTAATGAAGCAATCTACAAGTAAACTAAATAAAGGCTACTTAAATACCACTTCGTATTTCTCTCTACACAGTCATTGTCATTGATTTTCAACTGGACGTAAACGTTGCACCTCAGTAGTGGTCCTCTTAAGGACATGTTCGGAACACTCACGTCCAAAATATTGTCCTCGATGGTTTTGACTAATATACATTAGTGAGGAGAGGGAGTTAACATCCTGAGACATCATTCTCCTCCCGGACACATTCACACCACTACTACTATAATTGACATATTCCAATGAATCTACGACACAATGATGACTGAGACTATTTTCGCCTGGTGCAAGGGTGACTGTGAGCCACTAAGTATTAACATCGCAGGTGGGAGTGGACATGTCCGAATTGGACATAGTGGTACGATATGTACGCGCACATTGTGCATGCTAAATGAAGGGGAAGTCAAGGCACCCGAACAATTGCTACAGTCTGCCACTATACATTTCAGATTCAGAAGTGCAAAGTTCACACCCAGATATTGGCAAACATATTTGGAGCACTGAAATAGGTCTACTTGTATAAGACTATGGCACATAAGTACACCAGTGACTAGTGCTGTTTCTTCGCGAATGTAAATGCATGTGTGGATCAGATTTCAATTGAATCTTCATTGGTCTTCAAGCAAGAAATTTCATACACAGGTAAATATCCTGCCATATCATCTAGTCATTCATTGTCTGAACTGTTTGGTTGCACGTTTATCAAATGCATCATTCATCCTCAAATAAATGCACATCAAACTGACACACACAAATAGCAGCCAACACAGACACCTGAGGAACACCTGATCACTTAACTGATGTCATCATGCTTGTTTCAAATCTGTCATAAGACTCGACAAGTGTTGAAGGTATTTTTCCATCATCCCACCAGGTGTCTTCGTAGGACGTCTGCTGACACGTAAAGCCATTAGGAAGAAACGGAGAAGAATAGGTTGACAGATGAAGCTGAGGTCAACTGAGATAGATATTGGTGATGTGACCGTTCAAGAAATCAAGTATCTGTGACATGGTAGACTAGGACAAAATACTAACAATTGACGGTTCATTTGGTGTGAAAGTCTGAGATAGGCATGAATGGACAGAATTTCACCGATTCAATGGATAATGATTGAAAGTGGAATGAAAAGCTGAGTGTGTTAGCAGCAGTCAAATCGTAAAGATGAGAAGAATATTTGGGCCTCAATGCTGTGCTAGTCGAATTCCAGACCGGTTCATAACATACTGCAACATATGTTTTCATTTCGCCACCAGTCACCAGCGAATCCATCACTATCAGTCTGCAGATCCAAGTGTGTTCCAGGTAATCGAAACAATTTGTAATCGCTCACCGATGTTTCTATCGTTCATCACCGACAAACATTAAAATTACATTAGAAATGAACAGTCTAAAAGATTAAAAGTGAGTGGTGTGAGTTAGCGACCAGTTTGTTGGAAACCCTCCACAGGATAATAACACTACAAACTACAGACATATTGTCAGACACATCGCTTTGTACCAGCTGATGAACACATCCCTGAGAATACCAGATAAGTGATCACACCTGTCCATCCGG